CACTCTGTTCCAAATAAAGTTCATTCTCATGGAGAAAGCTTCAAAGCTCTCTATTCTTATGGTCTCCTCCATCTGGGAAAAGAACTCTGTTCCATTGTTCTGGAGTTTGAGGCAGAAACAGTGGCCCAATTCTCTTAGAGTGACACCACTACTTTCCAAGCAGGCCACTAATTTGGGATAGTATTCTTTGGTCTTCTTGGCTTGCTACACCTGGCATGAGATGTTCACCTTACAAGCAGGATATCTATATACAAGAATATATTCTCTGTAACATGATGAGACATTCTGGTGCTTTCCCTGTCCAGGGAGATGGAAGAAGATGAGGGAAGAAGCAGCCCTATGTTCTTGGCTACACATGCCTTAAATTGGAGCTTTCACCATGTTGAATGAACTTGGTGGGAGGGAGGGTGCAGTTGACCCTAAGACAAATTCCAAATTTAACTGGTTGTTTTGTTTTGTTTTGTTTTTTAGGTGAGGCAACCCTTGATTGATCTCGCAGATTGCAAGGACCTTGTCAGTTTACAATCCCTTTTTAATTTATTTTGTTTACACCTACAGCACCTGGTCTTCCTAGGTGGTCTCCCATCCAAATACTGACCAGGCACGACCTTGCTTAGCTTCTGAGATCAATTATCTGGTTGTTTTTAAAAATAATTTTCACCAATGAAAGCTGTTTCACTGGAGAGGGGTTCCATGGCAGTCTTCAGGTTACTATTTCAGAAGTCTACTACTTTATTTCTATTTCTTTCCTGAATGCACTGGTAGCCCCTCTAGAATAATGTTGAAGAGAAGTGATGTGAGTGGACATCCTTGCCTTATTCCCAATTTTAGAGAGAAAGCATTCAGTGGTTCACTATTAAGAATGATGCTATCTGTGAGACTTTCAAAAACGTCCTTTACAAAATTGAAAAAATCATCTTTTATTCTTTGTTTGCTCAGATTTTTATCATATAGTTGCTAAATTTGTTAATTTTTTTTCTTGCATCTATGGAGATGATTATATGATTTTTCTTTTTTGGTTTGTTAATGTAATGAATTACAACAGATTCATCTCTAAATGTTAAGGCAATCTTTCATTCCTTGAGTATAACCCACTTGGCTAAGATTGAAGCTCTCAAGATATACTATCCTTTTAAAAATATTATTGGATTCAATTTGCTAAAATCTAGTTTATACACTTTGCATGTATGTCATGTACAATACTGGCTAGCTTATAGTTTTATTTTCTTGTAATGTCTTTGTTTGGCTTTCATGTCAGACTAATGCTGGCCTCAGAATAAATTGGAAAATATTCTCTCCTCTTCAATTTTTTGAATGGTTTCATATAGAATCAATACTATTATTTTATCAATAAAGCCATCTGGAACTGATGTTTTCTTTGTGGGAAGATTTTATGTAAATTCAATTCAATTAATAAATAGTGTTATTTGGATTATTTCTTTTAAAATGAGTTTTAGTAATATGTAGTAAGGACTCTGTCCATTTCTTCTAAGTTGAATTTATTGGCGAATTTTTATTCATAATATTCTTTTATTTTCCTTTGAATATCTATAGAACCTGTAAAGATGTAACTCTCTTATATCTGATTTTGGTCAGTTGTTTGTACTCTCTTTTTTCCTAATCACTCTGCCTATAGGTTTATCAATTTGATTTCTCTTCTCAAAGAGCCAGCTTTTGAGTCCACCGATTGTCTTTGTTTTCTGTTGTTTTTTATTTCATTGATTTCCACTCTGATCACTATTATTTGTTTTTTGTTTGTTTTTTGCTTACTTTTGGTTATATTTGCTCTTATGTTTTTAGTTTAAGATGGAAGCTGAGGTCATCATTAGGGAACTTTCTTCTTGAAAAGAAATGTATAGTGCTATAAATTTCCATCTCAGTTTACTTGCAGTGGCATTCCATAAATTTCGATATGTTGTAGTTTTATTTTCATCCAGTTCAAATTAACTTCTAATTTCTCCTTTGATTTCTAATTGACCCATGGATAACTTATAAGTGTGTTTGTTTTCAGATATTTTTATATTTTTCAGATATATTCAGTTATTAATTTATAATTTAACTTCAATATGGTCAGAGAGCATATTTTGAATAACTTGACTTCTTTTAAATTCATAAGACTTCTTTTATGGCCCCAAATATGGTCTATTTTGGTAAATATTCCATGCACACTTGAAAAGAATATATATTTTGCTGTTGGAGAGTAGAATGTTTTATAAATGTTAGGTTAAGTTGATTGATGTGTTGCTTAAATCTTACATCCTTGCTGATTGTCCACTTGTTGTATCAAATATTGACAAGGGTGAGGAATAGAGTGAAGATATATAATGAAGTCACTATTATCAAGCTGCTAAATTACTATCAAGTAGTTTGAGGCATGAGGAAACAGATCTATTGTTGTTTTAACTAGCCTGGAAACCTTAACTCTTTTAACTTTCTGGTCCTGCATCAATGTCTGCATACACATCAACCCCCGACATAACCCTCTGATTATTATCTCAAAAACTAAGAAAAGAATATTCACATATTCAGATCACCTGATATCCAGTACCTAGACCACCAGTCATCTAAAATATTAGCATCTCAGACCAATCTCAAGAAAAGCTAAAACCAACTCTTAGCTTTTCTTTCTTCTTTGGAACATTCTGGATATTGCCTAGTTGTGATTATGGTTTGCAAACCCTAAAACACTTGAATAAATCATTATCATGTATTTCTAGACAAAGCCTCCTGATTCATTTACACTCAGTCAACAGGGGGTATGAGATCTCAAACTACAATTGTGGGTTTATATGTTTGTTTCACAGCTCACTTATTAGATACATAAATATATAGGATTGTATATCCTCTTGATGAAATCTTTTTTACCTCATAATATTCTTCCGAAAGCCACTTTATCTGAAATTAACATACCTTTTCAAGCTTTCTTTTGACTCATTTAAGCATGGTATTTTTTTGTTTCACTTTTAACTTATTTTTTATATTTAAAATTCACTTCTTGTCAGCAACATATAGCTGTTTCTGGTTTTTGTTATTATTCAATCATATAATCTATACTTTTAAATCAAGATATTTGGTCCATTTACATTTAATATAATGATGTTTGATTGTCTATCATCTTCATCTTGCTATTTCTGTTCTCTTTGTCTCATTGTGTCTCCCTCTCTTTTTTATTATATTTTTTTGTTTTCACTTGGATTGAGTTTTTTATGATTTGTGTTTATTTCCTTTGTTGGCTTGTTGGTTATAACATTTTTTATTTTGGTTTGTTTAGCATTTATGATATGTATCTCTAACTTTGGTTGCTTTAGCATTTGTAATACATCCTTTATGTTAATGTCATACACTTTATACGTTATAAACAATACATTGTTGTTAAGTAGTCAATTATCTTTTGATTTAAATTATAAGAAAAATACTCTCATTTACTAATGTTTTTACCATTTCTGGTGTTCTTTCAAAAAAAATTTACATCTTCCTTCTCCAAATTCATGGTGTAAAAACGCCTGATCAATCCCAGGACAGCAAACATGTTTGCCTTCTCCACTAGCCCTGCTGCTTGTGGTTTAGAATGCATACTCCAGTACCTGGTCCTTTTTATGGCTACCATATGGTTCAATAAACCCTTTCTTTCAAAAAAACTTTCAGCCTTGAAGGTTTTTGATAGTCTCATAATTGTTAAATACATTTTTCTGTTTATGTTTTAACATTGCATTCTTTAAAAACTGGAATACTCCATAGTTCATAGTAAAATTTGTTGATATCCTTTATGGTTTCTGCTTTTCGTTTCATACTGTCTCAAACTGTTTGTTAAATCTTTAAGCAATTGCTATTTTACTTTTTAAATTTAGATACTGAATTCAGGTACCATTTATTTATTATAACATGTGAAATGACTACATAATCCACCTTATTTTCTCAACATCTTAATACTATATACTATCTCCATCGTTTGAAATGACAATTTTAACATTCTCATGTATATTTGGATCTGTGCCTGCTCTTTTTTGAAGCCAGCACCACACTTTTAAATTATGTTTATAATAATACACATTTCCAAAAGAAAATTCCTACTTATTCTCCAATGTTATATATATTTCAAAATTATTTATCAAGTAAACAAAACCAAACTGTCCATCAAAATTTTTTATTGTGTTTTGGAATGAAATTGGGTTAAGTTCTAAAGATTAGTTGTAAGGATAAATACAAATATAAAACAATATTTTCCTTGGTGAAAAAAGGGAAAAAGACCTTTGCTCCCCTCTTTTCATTAAATATTTCCTAGAGAAAATTATAAATCTTTTCTGTCCTTTTGATATGTATGTAAATCTTTTTAAAAAGTAAATAAGCCTGTTTTTATTTTTACAATCCAGGAAACCTCTTTCTTAAAGGCCTTGGAGCCATGTCTTTAAAATGTAACTAACACATAACCACTATAATTACCAGGTGAATTTAGGATGAACTCCGCCTTGGCAAATGGGTTGTCAAGTCCTCTTGAACGGGTTATATATACCTGGTTCTATAAAGGTGTGATATTTCTGTCATTGCAAACGCATTAGCAGATCACCTGGGATGCCTACGGCAGTCTAGTTTAATAGACTGTTTCTTCTTTTCTCTGTGGAGAGGATTTTCTGGATTGGCAAGAGACATTTTTAATTATATCCCCAACACCCCTTATCCAGGAAACTGGTGTGTGTGTGTGTGTGTGTGTGTGCGCGCGCGTACAAATACATATATACACACATACTCAAATTTTATCTGTATATATTATGGCTTCTATGTTTTAAAATTGACTATGGAAATGTTAATATTTTTGTAATTAGTTTGAATGAAAACTTTCTATTGTTGGCAAAAGAATATACTGATGTCATAAAGTTATTACTGACCAGGAAATCAGCATATATTCAGTATATATTCTGTAGTGAAATTATAGTCAAACTATTTTATACTATTAGGATAAGACGAGTAAAAATCTCAGAAGAGTGCACCTAATATTAAGCGTTTGTTGTTTTTTTTTTTTTTTCTCTTGGGAAGTGGTACCTGTGACGCTCAAGTTGTTTTAGCTTATATATATTTTCTCTTTATTATGTTTCACATACATTTGCATAATTTTGAAAGCTAGCATTCCTAAGACAGCTGTAACAGTATTATTTTTTGAATGTACTTAGTTTCAAGTACTTTCTTTAACTTACTCATCAATATTCATCGCACCACCCCACAGTAGTTATCTGTTTTCAAGCCCCGATTGTGGGTGACCAGTTCCAATCAGCTATAAGAATGAGTAACGAAAGAAAAGACCAAGCCTTCTAGAAATCCCAGCGGCAAACACTCAAGAATCTCGTGACGTCATCCGAAACTGAGTCGCAGCCGAGGCTTCGGGGAAGCGTAGTTCCAGAGTGGGGCGTAGGGAGCCATCTGCGCATAAACAATTCCGATTCCTTTCGGTAGTCGCCATTTTCTATTTTGCACCCCAGCGCTCAGAGGACTCCGGACCCTCCTGCCCGGCGCGGTGCCGCACAGGGCGGGGCCTGGAATCCGCGCGGGCCGGGCGCCAAGGCGGAGCTCCTGATAGTGTGTGGAAGGTCGCTCTTGGGGCGCGAGGCCGGGGCGGGGTGATGGTGGCGGGAAGCCGGGTCTCTGCGGCTGCGCTGTGTCGGAGATCCTGGAAACTGACGCCCACCTCTGAACGCGGGACTGGCCTCCGAGGGGCACTAGGGAGAGACCTGGGAAGGGGCTGGCTGGCAGGCCGGTTGTCCGCGCTCCCGTTCCTCTCCAGACCCTTGTTTCTTGACCTGCATGAGAGGCGGTCGGGAGAGGCCTGGGGCAGCGTGCTGAGGGAATGGAGGTTTGTGACGTGGATCTGACACCCGTCACGTTCTGGCTAGCGCGTTAGCGGTCCTAGCTGCTGGAGAAAGGGCGTTGTTGAAGTTCTAGGGACTTGGGCTCAAGTCCAACGCCTGCCAGTAAATGGGCAGGTTAATCCGGTACGATTCAGATACTCTTCTGTAAATTGACAACTAACCTTTCGAGTTGTTTTCTGTATTAAATAGGATAGCATATTTCATGTGTGATAATAAAGGTGAGCTGCTTTTGTTATTCCAAGGTATACTGTTCTTTCATTATTGGCTCATTTAATCATTTTATTCATCATAACCATCCTTTGAATCAATATTAACCACTTCTATTTAAATAAATACAAATACTAAAGGTTCAGAGAGAGAAACTTTTGTTTTTTTTAACCTAGCATTAGTAAATGGGCTTTAAATTCTCACTTGTTTTATTCTGTAGTTTCTGCTGCTGCTTACACTAAAATTTACAATCTTCGGTTGAACGTAATTGTCCCTAAGCATCATCAGAACATAATTGTAGAGTGTACTGATTAGGTCTACCTCATACTACCATGCAGTGTTCTATTTCCAAAAATTCGTGAGGCTTCCTCTTGTGTCAAAAGGTTATAATTAAGGCCCTTCCTGCATTCTCTAACTAGTCTCTTTTCAGAGGACTGTTAAACAAGTAATTTGTAACTGTAAATTAAGCCCTCAATTTTAAGTTTTACTGGAGGAGGTAGGAATTCTATCCAAGCAAGAGGGGAGATCAGACATTTTTAAAAAATGAAAACTATTTTATCCATGCTTCATGTGAAAGTAATATGATGCCTCTGATTGGTGGTGTATCTGGGCCTTTTAGGCATTTTGTAAGCAGCAGGCTAACTGGAAGTGATTTCTGCCGCCTGTAATGTAGAAGGTATCTCAGCATTATGGCATCTTTTTGTTACCTATACCAAGTACCTCTTTGGGGATTATGGTACTACGTTGTTATTTCAGAAATTAGATTTGTGTCACTGTTAGAGAAGATTAGATGGCTATGTCAGAATTCATCAAAGCTTAATTAAATTTTACTCTAGGCCCAACCCAAGTTTGGAGGGAACAGTGAATTCCATGGTACTGTCTGGATTTGTGGCACTGGTTGAAGACTTATAGAATCAGAATGGTATTTGAAGAGTTGTTCAAAATTATGTGATTCTTCCTCGTGTTAAAGATAATAGCATTGAAACTATGACAGTCACTAGATTTGGTAATAGTAGAGCCTAGCATAGAACAGAATACTCCAGGCCCACTATATCATATTTAAGTCAAAACAAGGTTCTTGGAGAAGTGATTTTCGAGTAACTGCAATTGAAGGAAAAAACATTTTTGAGAGCTTTGGAGAATTTCTGACCTTCTGGGATTTATAATAGTAATAGGAAAAATTGTTATGACCTACAACAAAGCACTTTCCATGTCAATAAATACTCTCATCATTTGTAATGCCAGCATAGGATTGCATACTTTGGACATATATATTATATACCTTACTTAACTAATCTATTATTGGATATTAAAGCTTTCAGTTCTTTTGTGTTATTTAGTAAATAGACACATAATTTTCAAAACAAGCAATAGAAAAAGTCCCAAGGTCACGATTATATCAGAGTCACCAATGGACAGGTGGTACTCCTTTATCATGGTCCGTTCTATTCCTTCTCATGGCTCAAAGGGATGTTTTTCCCAGGGATATACCTTTCACTAAAATGTTGTATGAAAATTTCTCATAGGTGATTCCTGGAACTGCAAGATAAGGAAGGTCTAATGATTTCTGTCTTTCAACTTTCCCTCTTCTGACTCCATAGTTTCTGTCCTTTCCCAAGAGCAGCAGAAAATGAACAAATTCCAGGTGAGTCATTCATTTAGCCCTTATTTTGTTTCACTCTGTATATGTTCAATGAGTTTTATGAAAGAGAGCCCATATATTAAATTTAAAAAGGAAATAGTTGACTGGCACAAAATACTGTTTGACCCCTGGGAGCCCCAAGACCTTTCAAGGGGTCTGTGAGGTCAAAATGTAATATTAAGATGCAAATTGCATTTTACACCATTGACATTTGCACTAGTGGTATGAAAGCAATGGTGAACAGATTGCTTGCTACCTGTTTGGCATGAATCAAGACTGACACCAGTGACACTGCATTCCTCTGTAATGGACTTATAGTAAAAAGTTGCCACCCTTTCATCCTTGATGAAACAGTAAAAATTATTAATTTTATTAAATCCTGACCCTTGACTACACATCTTTTTAATATTTCATGTGACAAAATGGGAAGTTCACACAAAGTACTTTTGCTGTACACTGAAGTATAATGGTTGGTCATCTTGAGGAAAAGCACTTGTGATTATCTGTGAGCTCATCTAGCCACTTTTTTCATAGAATACAATTTTTACTTGAAAGAGCAGCTAGCAGACAAACTGGTTATTCAGACTTGGGTATTTAATAAACATTTTCTCAAAAATGAGTGAAATGAACCTGTCATTTCAAGGAAAATAACTGTCACTGTTGCCAGTGTTAAAATTTAAGTTTTAAGTGAAAATTAGAATTTTAGGAAACTTGAATCCTCTATTATGAACTTGACAACTTCTAATACTTAAAGACTTTTTCTGATAAGATTGGTGAGGATACAAACAAATGTGATTTTTTTAAATGTATTATGTAATAAAATGTGTAAACATTTGAGTAATATTTCCAGTATATGAGCTCAGAGTTAAACTCAAGCAGTTTAAGAGGACAGTGATACAGTGAAGTGAGGAACAGAATAAGTTGATTAGGGAATGCCAACTCTGAAAGATAATATTCGAGGAAAGTCCTGGATTAAATTAAACAGAGAGCCAAGTAGAAAAATGGCAGAAAATGTAGATAGGAGGAACAAAAAATATAAACACTCTAAGGCATGTTCCAGAAACTGTACTCAGGACATCAAAGCTAGAGAGAAGTGACCTAGGGGGAGAAAGGTAAGAAGTAAGATCTAAAAGGTATAATCAAAGAGGTAAAAGGAACAGAGATATATAGGACCTTGTAGGTTGTAGAGAACATTGAATTTTGATTTTATGTATTGATTCATTAAAAAATTTAACAATCATACTTTATATAATCAAAGGAATGTACATAATGCATATGTATAATTTAGGGAATATTGATTAAGTAAATAGCAGTGTATCCCCTATCTGGCTTAAGAAATATAATTTACTAGTACCTTTGAAGCCCTCATATGCCCCTCCTTAATCTTATTACACTATTGCCCAGAGAATACTAATTCTGAATTCTGTCATCACCACATCCCACTTTTTAAATTTAATTTTAAAGCTAAACATCTTATTTGGCAATTAATTAAATGCCCAGCCCTTTAATAAGCACTTGATATAGTGTTTTACATAATTGTCACAGCCAGTTTTTGAAGTATTATTATCACCATATCATAAATTTTCAGAGTGGACATTCTGCTATTAATTAAAAATCATAGTTTTGGGGCATGTTGGTGAAGAGAAAAGAGACACTAGAGGGAAGGAGAAATGAAGTAGGATGAAGTGCAAAATTTAACCTATTCTACTTCAGTCAATCTTGAACATATATCTTTTATGTGAAATTCTTCTTATCCAGAATTCATTCAGGGGTGGCAGATGACATTTTCCCTCTACCTTATGCTCTATAACTAATTGCTGGATAGTCAGTCTGGAACAGCAGAAATGAGTAGTGAGCCTGTTTGTTTTTGAAATAATTTTCCAAGGTCCCGACTCTTGGAAAAGTTTACTTTATGCAGGTACTGGAATCTTTTGTTTGTTCATAGACATTTTTGCCAGATTATGTTATCTCTTTATTATTTCTTCTTGATCTTTAAAATCCTATTGGCATAAATTTCCTGTTTAAAAATATCCTTTATAGTTACTATTTTTATTCTGTGTGCTTGTTTGTTTTAGTGTGGGTCTGCTGGTAGAAAATTCAGTTTATCTGAAATATTCATGAAGAACTTTTTCACAGTGTATAGAAATCTTGGTTGACAGTTCTTTTAAAACATTGAAAAGTATTCATTGCCTTCTGCTGATGCTATTAAAAACTCACCTGTTGATTTCAGACGTCAAGGTAAATTTTCTGTTTTGTGCTAGCTGCTTTTAAAATAGCTTTTACTCTAGTACATTTATGTATGAATTTCTCTATATACTAATGAGATTTCTTGTATTTCCTTTGGGTTGAGTATTTGAGTGTTTTGAGTATTACATTGTATCTTCTTTATTGACTTTTGAACTCTATTTTTTTTTGTTATTTTGTTTATTGCTTAGTTTGGAGATTATGGTATGCACCATTAACTTATCACAGTATCTACAAATATTATTATTTGTCATGAATGGTGTACTAAACTTTCATCAGTATTATTCTGTTTACACTGTTCCTACCCTCATGGTCCTTGTCTTACGTCTCACTTCTGTATATATTTTTAACCCCATATACTTGTTATTTTTATTTTTATTTTTATTTTTTTATGCCTACAGCACCTGGTCTTCTTAGGTGGTCTCCCATCCTAGTAATAACCAGGCCCGACTCTGCTTAGTTTCTGAGTTCAGACAGGATCGGGCTTGTTCAGGGTACCATAGCCGTAGACTGTTTTATTTATTTTGTTTTATTAAGTTTATTGGGGTAAAATTGGTTAATACAATTATATAATTTTCAGGTGTACATTATCATTTGACATCTGTATATTCTATTCTGTGTTTACCACCCAAAGTCCAGTTTCCTTCAGCTACCGTATATTTGATCCCCTTTACCCACTTCACCCTCCCCTTAAACCCTATATTTGACCCCCTTTACCCCACTCTTCCCCTACACCACTAGTAACCACTAATCTATAGTCCTCTGGTAACCACTAGCCTATAGTCCACATCCATCAGTCTCTGTTTGTGCTGCTCATTTGTTGCTTTTAGGTTTGTATCTCACATATAAGTGATATCATGTGATATTCAACTTTTTCTGTCTAGCTTGTTTCGCTTAGCATGATTATGTTGAGGTCCATCCATGTTGTCGCAAAAGGCAGTATTTCATCTCTTCTTATGGCTGAGTAATATTCCATTGTATATATGTACCATAGCTTCTTTAGCCAATCATCTATCGTAGGACACTTCGGTTGCTTCCATGTCCTGGCCACTGTGAATAATGCTGCTATAAACATTAGTGTGCAAATAACTTTTTGGATATCGGTTTTCAAGTCTTTGGGGTAAATACCCAGTAAGGGATTGCTAGATCATATGGTATATCAATTGTCAGTTTTTTGAGGAACCTCCATACTGTTTTCCATAGTGGCTGTACCAATTTGCAGTCCCACCAGCAGTGTATGAGGGTTTCTTTTTCTGTGCATCCTCTCCAACATTTGTTATTACTTGTCCTGTTGATTATAGCTATTCTAACAGGTGTGAGATGGTACCTCATTGTGGTTTTGATTTGCATTTCCCTAATAGCTAGCGATGTTGAGCATCTTTTGGTTTCTCCTCTAGGGAGAAGTGTCTTTTCAGGTCCTCTGCCCATTTTTTGATTGGATCATTTGTTGTTGTTGTAGTTATTGAATTGTATGAGTTCTTTGTATATTTTGAATATCGGGCTCTTATCGGAGGCGTTGCTTGCAAATATATTTTCCCATTTGGATGGTTCTCTCTTTATCTTGTTGACGATTTCTTTTGCTGAGCAGAGCTTTTAAGTTTGATGTGAGCAGAGCTTTTAAGTTTGATGTAGTCTCATTCATTTATTTTAGCTCTTACGTCCCTTGCTTTTGAGGTCAAATTCATAAAATCCTCTTTAAGTCCAAGGTCCTTGAGTTTCGTTTCTATGTTTGCTACTATGCATCTTATTGTTTCAGGTCTTATATTTAGGTCTTTAATCCATTTTTAGTTAATTTCGGTGTGTGGTGATAGACAACAGTCTAGTTTCATTCTTTTGCAGGTGGCCTTCTAGTTTTCTCAGCACCATATATTGAAGAGGCTTTCCTTTCTCAACTATATGTAATTCTGTGCCACTGGTTCGTGTGTCTGTTTTCCTGCCAATATTATGGTGTTTTGATTACTGTCGCTTTGTAGTATAATTTGAAGTCAGGCAGCGTGATGTCTCCAGCCTCGTTCTTTTTTCTCAGGATGGCTTTGGCAATTTGGGGTTTTTTGTGCTTGTATACAAATCTGATGATTTTTTGTTCTGTTTCTTTAAAAAAATGCCAATGAGATTTTGATGGAGATTGTATTAAATCTGTATAATGCTTCAGGTAATATGGTCATTTTAACTATATTGATTCTTCCAATCCAAGAACACGGAATATCTTTCCATTTCTTTGTATCTTCTTTGATTTCTTTTAATAGGGTCTTATAGTTTTCGTTATATAGGTCCTTCACTTGTTTCATTAAATTTATTCCTAGGTATTTTATTCTTTTTGTTGCAATTGCAAAAAGATTTATTTTTTCCACTTCTTTTTCTGGCACTTCATTATTAGAGTATAGGAATGCTGTGGATTTTTGAACGTTGATTTTGTATCCAGAGACTTTACTGTATTTTCTTATTGTTTCTAGTAGTGTTCTTATGAAGTCTTTAGGGTTTTCTATATAGAGAATCATGGCATCCACAAATATTGACTTCTTCGTTTCCTATGTGGATGCCTTTTATATCTTTCTCTTGTCTGATTGCACTCTCTAGGAGCTCCAGCATTATATTGAATAACAGTGGCGATAGTTCCTGATCTTAGAGGGAAGGTTTTTAGTTTTCAGTTTTTCACTATTAAGTATAAGATTGGCTGAGGGTTTGTCATAGTTGGCCTTTATTATGTTAGGGTACTTTCCTTCTATACCGATTTTCTTAAGTGTTTCGATCATAAATGGATGCTATATCTTGTCGAAGGCTGTTCTGCATCTATTGATATGATCATATGATTATTATTTTTTAATTTGTTTATGCAGTATATCACATTAATCGATTTGCATATGTTGAACCATACCTGTGCCCTTGGGATGAGGCCTAATTGATCACGGTGTATAATTTTTTTAATATATTGCTGTATCAATACGCTAGTATCTTATTTAGGGTTTTTGCATCTGTGTTCATGAGCGAATTGGTCTGTAGTTTTCTTTTTTTGTATTATCTTTACTAGGTTTTGATATCAGAGTAATAGTGGCCTCATAAAATGTATTGGGAAGTATTGCCTCCTCTTCGAGTTTTTGGAAGAATTTGAGGAGAATAGGTATTAAATCTTCTTTGAATGTTTGGTACAATTCACTGGTGAAACCATCTGGTCCTGGACTTTTACTTTTACTTTTTGGTAAGTTTTTGATGATTGTTTCAAGGGGAGAGATTGAGGACGTTTCTCACTCTGCCATGTTTCCAAAGATTGAGCTCATTATTTTTGTTTTAAACAGTTATTAACCTTTTAAGGAAATTTAAGTATATGTGTATATGCGTGTGTAAATAAAGTAGGCTTTTATGTTTACATACGTACCTATGCTTTGTACGTTCTTTATTCCTTCCTACAGGTCTGGGATTTTCTCTGATTTCTTTTCCGTTTAGTCTCAGCAACACATTTCTTCATCTTATATAGCTCAGGACTGAGGGCGACAGATTCACTTGGCTTGTCTTTCTTAAATTGTCTTTATTTCATCTTGATTTTTGAAGGATATTTGGCTGGTTAGAAAACTCTACCAAGAGTTTTCTTCGTTTCGGCGTTTTTAGGGTATCTCTGGCTTCTGTAAGTTTCTAATGAGAAGCCGATATTCATTTTATTGTTAATCGCCATCATCTGATATAATATGCCTTTTTCCTCTGGTTGTGCGTAAGATTTTCATTTTTCCTTTAGTTTTCCACAGTTAGACTGTGATGTGCATGTAAATGCTTTGTTTTGCATTTATGCCTCTTGAAGAATGATAAAGATTTATGGGTTGTCACCTTTTATAATTTTGGAAACATTTTGGAGACTCTTCAAATATTTTCTTTGCCCCATTCTCTTTTTTCTTTCTAAAGTTCCAATTACACAGATATTGGATGATATACATATTGTACATATGTATGCTCTATTTAGTTTTTGGAGAGTTTGTTGTTGTTCTTCAGTTTGGAAATTTCTATTGAACTTTTTTCAACTTCATGGCTTCCTTCTCTGTCAATTCTCTTCATGAGCCCATAAAATCCACTTCTGCTATTTTATCTTTTAATTCTAAAAATTCTTGTCATTTATTTTATCTATTTTTTTTCACTAGGTCATTTAACATTTTTATTGTAGTTACTTTAAAGTCCTTATCTGCTAATCGAATACTGAGATTATCTGTGGGTCAGCTTCAATAGGCTTCTTTTTTCAGTGAGTCAAAATTTTCCGCTTTTTTGCATGTCTCTTAATTTTTCACTATGTGCTAGACAATATATGTAAAAGTATAGTAGAAATTGAAGTAAATAATATCTCCAGAAAAAGGCACATTTCTTCCTTTTTCTGGTTGCTAATGTGTAGTTCAGCTGGCCCTAGGCTTTAGTGAGATTCAGTTCACCACTAGCTCCAAATGATTTGAGGGCAGGATGCTGACTTTCTCTTCAGCAGTGTTTGGGATCTGAGCACCATCAAGGCTCCACTGATGTGATTTGCAGCCTACCCACCAACTTTTCTTTGAGATTTCTGCCCTACAGAGTTTTCATCATCTGAGATATCTCTTCGTGCCCTGGTTCTCTGCTCCAGGCCTAGGGAGAGTTGTTCCTATGCACTAGTAAAGACCTATGAGGGGAAAAAAAATGGGTGTTTATATTTCAGAGCATCTGTATCTGTAATAGAGCTTCCTATTTAGTTCCAGAAACTGCGCCTCCAGCTTATAATAAACTGACTACTTTGAGACACTTGATGGGAAATAAAAAATGTCTTGCAGATACTAGGCTTCTTTTGGGAGGATGTCTTGAATATGAAACCCCCACTCAGTCACTAGATAGAATCAAAGGCAAGTTGGTGTTGACTTACTTTATGGTTGGGGTTCTTAGGGATTCTGATACATCACACAAGCCCACAAACAAATATTAAAAGTTTGTAAAAAGTTGAACTGGTTCCCTCTCTCCCCTACTTACCTCCAGGAATGAAAGTAGTTGTGATTTTCTCTTCTCATCTGAAGTATTTATCTATTCTGAAATTTTTTCCCTTTATTAATCTTTGGATTCTCAGATCACTGATAGATCTTATAGAACTTATAATTTTCTAGGTTAGTGGCTTGTTGTCATTGTTAGGGTGAGATCAACTTCTCTTTTACCTCTCTACATTCTATTCAGAATTAGTTTTTTATTTTTATCTTATTCTAGAGATGCTAGCTCTAAGGTGCTTTTTGCTCTGTATTTTTTCCCAGGCTCTGAAATTTTTAAATGTCCTAGAAATTCTAAGCAGCGGTATAGGACTTATTCCAATGAGTCTCTCTTTTTTCTAGGACTTTGATCTCTCAAATTCTGCTACCTATGTTAATATTTGATACTTTTGTACATCTATTTTTAGTGTGTTTGGGGAGTTTTGGATTTTTGCTTTTTCAATTTTTTAATTGTGGAAAAATAACAAAAATTTATCATATTAATCATTTTTAAGAGTATAGCTCTGGCATTAAATACATTCATGTTGTTATGCAACCATCACCACCATCCATCTCCAGAACTCTTTTCATCATCCCAAATTGAAACTCTGCACTCCCCATTTCCCCCTTCCTCCATCTCCTGGGAACCACCATTCTACTTTCTGTCTTTATGAATTTGACTACTCTAGGTACCTCATATAAGTGGAATCAAACAGTATTTATTTTTTTAACTGGATATTTCACTGAATATAATGTCTTCAAGCTTCATCCATGTTGTAGCATGTGACAGGATTTCATTTATCCTTTCATCTGTTGGTGGCCACTTGTGTTGCACCTTGTGGCTGCTGTGAATAATGTTGCTATGAACACTGGTGTAGAAAACTCTGTTTGATTCTCTGCTTTGAATTTTTTGGGATATACTACTAGGAGTGAAATTGATGAATCATATGATAATTCTGTTTAATTTTTTGAGTAATTGCCATACTATTTTCCATACTGGCTGCACCATTTTACATTCCCACCAACAATGGACAAGGGTTCCAGTTTCTCCACATCCTTGCCAGTACTTGATATTTTTTGTTTTGTTTTGTTTTGTTTTGTTTTGTTTTGTTTTGTTTTGAGAATAGCCATTCCAGTGAGTCTGAAGTGGTTTTTGATTTGTGCTATGTTTAATTTTTATTTATTTTTTAAATTACAGCAAAATGTACTCTGAGTACACATTTCAGTGAGTTTTGACACATGCATAAAGGCGTGTAATCATCACCACAGTCAAGATATAGAACAGTTTCATCACCTCAAAATTCCCTTGGTTCCCTCTTTGTAGTCCCCCACCACTAATTCCTAGCAAACATCAGTTTATTCTTCATTTCTATAATTGTGCTTGATCATGTTGCATATAATTTTGCTTAATCATGTTATCAAATTAGTTTTTTATTATTGCTAAATAGCATGTAGTTGTATGTATGTACCCTATTTATCCACTCAGTAGCTGAAAAACATTTGGGTCGTTTCTGGAATTTTGACAATTATGAAAAGAGCTGTTACAAACATTTGCATTCAGATTTTTGTGTGTATACAGATTTTCATTCCTCTTGGGTAAATCCTAGGCATGTGCTTGCTGGGTCATAGTATAAATATTAGGAATGACTTTATAAGAAACTCCCAAACTGTTTTAGAGTAGTTGTACTATTTTGTATTCCCTATGGCAATATATCAGAGTTCCACTTCACGTTCTTGCAGCAGTTGGTATTGTCAGTTTTTTTAAGGTATGTAATGGTATGTCATTATAATTTTAATTTGCATTTTCCTAATGACTAATGATATTGAAAATCTTTTTATGTGCTTATTTGCCACTTATATATCTTTTTTTGTGAATGTTCAAATCTTTTGTCCATTTTTAAATTGGGTTGTTTTCTTACTGAATTTTGAGAATCTGTTCTGGATATAAGTACTTGGTTAGCTTTGTGATTTTTAAATATTTTCCTCACTATCTGTGGCTACTCTTTTCACTCACTTAACAGTGTCTTTCACAGAACAAATTTTAATGAACTCCACTTTTTTCTTTTTAGTTTCTTTTGGTGTCATCTCTTGAAAAGTGTTGCTTAACTCAAGATCACAAAGACTTTTTTCTACCTTTTGAAATATTTTTTAGTTTTTTTATATGGATGCTCATTTCTTCTAGTGCCATTAAAAAGCAAATATAAATATGTTACTTTAATATATATTAGCTTAACACATGTACAGATAGATACAGAAACAATTATAGATTTGTGTGTATACGTGAGTTAATACAATACATATATTTTCTAACTCTGTTGGCTGAGAGAGTCTATAAGCAATGACACCCCAGTAGCAATGAGCATACCTAGTGCACAGATCATAGTTTCTAACTACCATTCTCCAATAAAGAAACCAGAATTCCATGCAAAATGATTGATTCTAGGGCTGAGTCAAGGGAAATACAAAATAAGCCCAAAGAATTTTGTAGATCAGAAAATAAGTGCTCAAAAACAAAGTGATGGGGACATGTCAAATGGGCACAGGAGCCAACCTGAAAGAGCTTCTCATGGACAAAGCTGGAACAATTTGAGCAAGAAGATAAAACAGTATTCATTTCTAACCCAAAGCATTAAATATTTAAGGCCATATTTAAGTAAATAAATGGTTGAATGAATAAATGGGGAGAAGAGAGTTCTTTTTATGAATAGTTCAAAATAATATATATAGATACTACTCCCTCTTGGAGGTGGAGTTTATTCCCTTCCTCCTTGAGTATGGGCATGATTTAGTGATTTGCTTTCAAAGAATAAAATTTTGTTAGAGTAGGGAAAAGAAACATACAGTAGAGAAAAGTAGCGAACTCTACCTTAACAAAATGGTCCACGTTAACATCACCAGTAATATCAAGTACCCCTTTTATAATGTGATGAGAAGGGTTCCTTTTTATTCTTCCCAGTCAACCAAAGGTCATTGTCAACAATGCCAATTCAATGTCAACAGGAGTCCTGATTTGGGGCACAGTGAGGTGGAGGAGGGGGAGACTTTATTCAGTGCAAACAGCTCAATTATGAAATAGCTCAGCTGTGGAACAGCTTGAGGGAGGCAGTCCAAGTGAGGACATTGCAGTGTTACACTGACAGTGTCACAGTTCAGCTGTAGTGAGACAGCCCCCTCGTGTGAGTGCTCCATTCTGGCAAAACAGCTCTGCTCTGCTGTTACAACTCCAGCTTTAATGTTACAAATCTGGCTGGGAAAACAGTCTTCAATGGAAACTGAAAGTGTTGCTACACCAAGACACTGGTGAAGCTGGCTTATATAGAGAAGAGTTCCTGCTCCTGGTCCCTGATTGGTCTGTTCTTATGCAAATGAAGACTCTAAATCCTCATAGTTTGATTGGTCCAAAAAGCACTGTCCTGACTGATCAGAATGGAGCTGTTCTGATTGGTTGATGAAGATGCAAATAAGGATATAGCTGTACAGCTCTGATTGGATTGGGAAAGTCTCAGTCCTGTTGGTTGAATTTCAATCCTAGGAGCTCTCTTATAAGAGTTGCCTCAGACAGCAGAAGCACAGTGTAGGAGATTTGGAAGCCCACTCTGTGCCTTTTTCCTGAAATGCAACATGCATGAGGGATTTCTGCAAACAGTGGCTGCTAGATTCTGGTTATGAATTTGGGCCTGATAAACCACAAGAAATCCTCCTTGGCAGGTGTATTCTCCCTCAAAATACCCTCAAAACCTATGATCTCCATCAAACCAAGAGGGAAAATATTAGATAAATCCAAATGAAAGGGCATTTTGAAAATACCTGACTAGTACTCCTCAAAATTGTCAAGGTCATGAAAAACAAGGAAAAACTCACAGACTAGAAGAGACCAAAGACACATGGCAACTAAATGCAATATAATATCCAAAATTAGATCATGGAATAGAAAAAAGTACATTGAAAGGAAGACTAGTGAAATTCAAATAAAGTCTGTTTAGTTAATAGTCTATTTGTTAATAGTCTATACCTGTTTTCATTTCTTTTGCATATATTTATAGAAGTAGAATTGCTAGGTTGTATGGTAATTCTATGATTAACTTTTTGAGGAGCTGCCAGTCTTTTCCACAGCAGCTGTACCATTTTATATCTCCATCAGCAATGTTTGAGGATTCCAGTTTCTCCACATCAGCTGTTATTTTCCATTTTTGTTTTTTTAAAAACATTTGTCCTGGTAAATGTAAAGTGGTATCATTGTGGTTTTGATTTGTATTTACCTAAAGACTAATGATGTTGAGTATCATTTCATGTGCTATTTAGACATGGTATATATTCTTCGGAGAAATGTCTATTCAAGTTCTTTGCCCACTTTCTAACTGGTTTGTCTTTTTGTCATTGAAATGTAAGGATATTTTATATATTATGGATAGTATATATAGATAGATAATTTATCAGATAGATGATCTTCAAATATTATATTCCATTCTGTGGGTTGTCTTTTCCCTATTTTGGTAGTGTCCTGTGATGCACAGAAATTTTAAATTTTGATAAAGTTCAATTTATTTGTCTTTGTTGGTTTTGGTGTCATATTTAGAATCCATTGCCAGATTCAAGGTAGGGAGACTTATCCTTTTGTTTTCTTATGAGCTTTATAGTTTTAGCTCTTATATTTAGGTCATCGATTTATTTTGAGTTAATATTTGAATATGGGGTGAGATAGAGGTCCAATTTTATTCTTATGCACACGAATATCCAGTTGTACCAGTATCATTTGTCGAGGAAACGATTCATTACCCCATTGAATGTTCTTGGCTTCTATCTATCAAGTGACAATAAATGTATGAGTTTATTTCTAACTCTCATTTCTATCCCATTGGACAGAATGTCTATCCTTATGCTAATACCACACTGTTTTGATTACTGTAGCTTTGCAGTAAGATTTGAAATTGGGAGATGGGAGTCCTCCAACTTTGTTCTTTTCCAATTTTGTTTTGGCTATTAGGCACTCCTTGCAATTCCATGTTAATGAGGATTGGCTTTTCCATATGCATTTGAAAGCCTTTGGTATTTTGATAGGACTTGTACTGAATTTGTAGATTCCTTTCAGTAGTATTGTCACCTGAACTATATTAAGTCTTAGAGTCTATGAACACAGAATATTTAGGTCTTCTGTAATTCTTTCAGCAATTTTTTTTATAGTTTTCAGTTACAAGTCTTACACCTCCTTGAGTAAATTTATTCCTTCATATTTTATTCTTTTTGATGCTACCTTAAATGGAATTGTCTTAAATTCTTTTTTAGATTTTTATTGCTTGTATATAGAAACACAACTGATTTTTTTGTGGATTTATCTTATATCCTGCAACTTGCTGACTTTATTAGCTGTATTAGCTTTTTGTTTTTGTGGATTCTTTGGAATATTCTATATATAGATTCATATCATCTGCAAATAGCGAGTTTTATTTTTTCCTTTACAATTTAGATGCCTTGATATCTTTTTCTTCTCTAATTGCTCTGGATAGAACTTTCACTACATTGTTGAATAGAAGTGGCAAAAGCAGGCATCCTTGTCTTGTTACTGGTCACAAGGAGAAAGTTTTCAGTCTTTCACTATTGGGCATGCTAGTGGCTGAAGGAGGAGCAGATTAAAAATACTGTTTGTCATGTTGAGGAAGATTTCTTCTACAATTCATTGAGTGTTTTAATCATGAAAGAGTATTGAATTTTGTTAAATGCTTTTTCTGTATCAATTAAAATGGCCATCTACTTTTTTTCCTTTGGTCTATTAATATAATTCATTGACTGTTGTATGTTGAACCACCCTCACATTCCTGAGATAAATCACACAAGATCATGTTGTATAATCTATTTTTTTATTTTGCTGGATTTGATTTACTAGTAATTTGTTAAGGATGTTCACCTCTATATTAATAAAAGATAATTAGCCTGCAATTGTTTTATTCTTTGATGCTTTGTCAGGCTTTTATATCAGGGTAATGCTGGCCTCATAAAATGACTTAGAAAATGTTCCCACCTCTGCTTTTCTTGTTAGGAGGTGCTTGATTAATGACTCAGTCTCTTTACTGGTTATAAATATGTTCAGATATTCTATTTTTTTTTCAGTCTGTTTTAGTAGTTTGTGTTTCTAAGAATTTGTTCCTTTCATCTAGGTTATCCAATTTGTTGGTATACAATTATTCATACAACTTTCATATAATACTTTTTATTTCTGAAAGGTTGATAGCAATGTTGCCTTTTTCATTTCTGATTTTAACTATTTGTGTATTTTTTTCTTAGTCATTATAGCTAAAGTTTTGTCAATTTTTAAAATCTTTTCAAAGAACTAACCTTTAGTTTTGTTCATCTGTTGTTTTTCTAATCTCTATTTTTACTTCTACTGTAAATTTTTATTTTCTCCCTTGGCTAGCTTTGAGTTTATTAGTTTATTAGCTTTGAGAAAAGTAGTTTATTCTTTTTTCTGGTTCCTTAAGATACAAAGTTAGATTATTGATTTGAAATTTTTTTTAATGTAGGCATTTACTACTATAAATTCCTTTCTAATCATTGCCTTCATTGCATCCCATTAAGTTTTGGTATACTTTATTTTTTATTCCATTGTTAAGCGTTTTCTAATTTTCCTTGTGGTTTTTTCCTTGGCCTCTTGGTTGTTCAAGACTATGTTTTTTTTTTTTAATTTCTGTGTTTTTTGTGAATTTTCCAGTTTTCTTTATTGATTATTGATTTCCACCTTCATTCCTTTGTGGTTGGGGAATATACACTGGATGATTTTAGTCTTTTTAAATTTATTGAATTTTGATTTATGGCCTGACAAAGTTCTGCTGGGGATAATGTATCATGTGTACTTGAGAAGAATGTGTATTCTATTTCTGGGTGGAGTGTTCCACATATATGTCTGTTAGTCCTAATTGATTTATAGCGTTAAGATCTCAATTTCCTTATTGATCTTTTGTCTTGATGTTCTATCCATTATTGAAACTGAGCTCTTGTAATGTCCAAGTATTATTTTGGAACTATTTCTCCTTTCAAGTATATCATTTTTTACTTTATATATTTATATATCATATTTCACTTTATATGTACTGATGAGTACATGTTTATAAATATCATGTGTCAAGGCATTGACCCTTTTATCAATGTGTAATGCCCTTCTTTGTCTCTTATATCAATTTTTTACATATGGCCTATTTTGTTTGATATTAATTTTTCAGCCTAGCTCTCTTTTGAATACTATTTTCATAAAATATCTTTTACCATCCTTCATTTTCAAGCTATGTGTGACTCTGGATCTAAAGTAGGGTTTAACATATTCAGGTCATGTTTTATTATCCATCCTGCCAATCTTTGCCTTTATCCACTTATATTTAAAGTGATTTCTGATGAAAGACTTCTTCAACATGGTGTTTATTTTCTATATATTTTATATCTTCTCTCGAGATTGCTTTCTTTTTTGTGTTTGATCAATTATTTTAGTATACCATTTTGATTTACTCATATCTTTTTCTGTATTTTTTTTGAAATTATTTTCTAGTGGTTACCATGGTGATTACAATTAACATCCCTAATTTATAACAATTTAGTTTTAATTGATACCAACTTAGCTTCAATAGCATAAAAAACCTGCTGATATATAGCTCTATTTCACATCCTCTTTATATTGTTATTGGCTCAAATTATTTTTTATGTTGTTTGTCAGTTAACAGAGAGTTATAGTTACTGTTTTATGCATTTATTCTTTAAGTTATATAGTTATATAAGTTAAAAGAGGAATTATAACTCCAAAATAGAATAATATAAGCTTTTATATTTACCTGTGTAGTTACCTTTTCTGTGTTCTTCACATGGCCTTAAATAACTCTATAGTGCCCTTTTATTTCAGGCTGAAAGCATTTCTTGT